GAACCTTCTCGGGGTAAAGCTTGTCACCGCTGGCGATTGGCCTCAAGAGGACAGCAAGCCCTGCACCTGGGATCTGTGGCTATGGTAAAACAGGTAAGAAAAAATGAAGGTTCTTATGACAGAGTTATTCTTAACTGCTTGTTCTCTCACGAAGGCCTCAGCTGGGTCACTAGGCACTGAGCTACAGTGACAAGGCTTGTATAAAAAGTCTGGTTTGTGGTTACTGCTTAGTCCCTGCCTTGAAATTATTTACAGGCTGTGCCTGCAATTTCATCACCATAATCTGGCACTGATTGCAGCAACCATCTGGAGCACAGCTATAAGGAATGGGGACATTTTGACCAGAGAGACAAGAGCACTCCTTCCTCTCTGCTCAAAGATGAGATGGGATAATCACTGTCCCTGCAGAGCAGACCAAGCTGTCAGAGTTGCAGCTTTTTTCAAAAGACTCCCAGCTAGCAAACCACAAAGAGGTCGATTGATTTGGAAGGGCTGAGTCAGTCCTGCTGGGATCTCATCTGTGGAGTTTCCAGCCTGGGGTCTAGCACGTTAAACTGCCTGCAGGGATATGGACATAAATGTATCTGTAAGGCTAGTTTGTATGTCTGCTGTCTGTGTGCATTGTGTTCAGTCTTGGCTGCAGCCGTGTTATTTCTGTTTGCAGGCCTGCAACTACTGGACAAAAGCAGCTGCCTTTTCCCAGTGCTCACGGCAGTGCAGTACCCTGATAGGTGCTAGGAAGAGCAGGAAGATATCTCTGTCTTGGTCCATGAGTAAGAAGATGCCCGTTCCTCTCTTCCTTTTCTGGGGCCGTGGGGGGAGTGTAAGTGAGGAGGGGAGTAGTGTTTGCCAGCCAGATTCCTCTGTGGAGTAGGTGCTTGTGGCAGTCTGACTGTGGGTTGCTTCTGTGTTCAGGAGCCAAAGGACTAAGGGCTTATGGCAGCTCTGATCTCTCCCTCTCGTGCTCTGAGGTTAGCTCCTGTGCAATTCCTCTTTTCTTTCCTAGAAAGCAGAAGAAGCAGAGAAAAGTGTTCAGCACCAGCTGCCGCTTCTGGGCTTTTTTCCAGTGCTATTCACCGCTGGCTGGTGATCTACAGAAACCAAAACAGGGCTGAGAGACTGCTGCTCCCTCACCTGCTAGAGAGACCTGGTGTGGTAGGACCCTCTCTTGCACATGCAAGGACTGAGAAGAACAAAGCAGAGGTGGACTTGGAGGAGTGGAATGAGAAGCGGCTTGGGTAAGTGCGATGGAGGGCTCTGGGCTTCCTCTTGTTGCTGTCATCAGGGAAGGACTCCCTTGTAGGGCTGTTGGGCTGATAAAGCTTATTTTCCCCTCTTGTGTATAGGAGGAAGTACCTGAGGTGGTGGCATCGCACGGCGATAATTCGCCGGTGCCAGCGTGACAGGAGACTGCGCTGTCTGGCCAGGCTATGGCACCAGTGGAAAGAAACCAGCAGGGTGGCAATACTGGCTCAGGCATTGGTGAGTGTCTGGTACTGCCACCAGGGGGGCAGTGATGGGTGTTACTAGGCAAGCGTGCTCTGCTTGTAGCCTCACATATGTCCTGGGAGATGAGACTTGAGGATTTGACAAGTACCAAGTGCACCAGAAATCCCCTTTTGCTGCTGTGGCTACTTTTTTCCATCTTTCTCTTTGAAATGCCAGCATGGCAGACTGGCATATCCACATATTTAGTTGTGCATTGCCCCATCTTACAGATGGGAAGCTGAGACAGGATGATTTTTATAGATTGTCTGTAGCCTGTGCAAAAATTCACAGCAAGTATTACAATCTTTGTTCTCATCTGTGTTTCTGATACATCCCTCTGGTGTCCACAGCCTACCAAGGGCTGTCGTTTGGCTTCCCTTTCTGCTCAGGCCCTAGCCATCTCTGGAACAGACCCGTGTTCTGTCTGGCTTCCTGGGCATTAGCTGGGTGAGAGGTGCTCTGACCTGCCCGTGGGACGAGATGACACACATATAGTGAGCACATCCATAGTCCCTGAGGAGCTGTGCTGGGCTGATGGGGCACTGTCTTTTCCCCAGGGTACCGTGACTTAATTAGCCACAATATTTGCAGGAGACAGTAGTTCAGCAAGAGCTTTGTTAGGAGTCAGCTTTGTTCGTTACCAATGCAAAGTCATTCCAGAGGGACCCGGGAAAGCAACTGGAAGCAAGGTGGGACTAGAGGCAAGTGAGGTAGTTTGCCTGCCAGAGCCCAATTAATCCGTTCACTGCCTTTTCTCCTGGCAGGACCAGCAGCGGCTGATAGAAAAGGCCTGGAGTGTGTGGAGACGACGATATTTGCAAAGCCGTGTGGTGCAGAATTTTTTGGAGGAGGAAGCCAGGAGCCTGCTATCTCAGGTAAGCATTTATGACTGGTTTAGTTCTGTGGACCTCAGTGGAGCAAAAAGCATCCCAAAGGGACAACTGGTGTTCCCTGTGTCTCATCTCCCTGTACAAAGCACTTGCTTAGGGAAAAGTTGAATACATCACGGAATGGTACTTGCCTATAACAAAGGGAAATAGCTTCCAGCTTTACATGGGTTCATCTTTGGGTGCTTTTCAAAGCTTTGTGTCAGCAGTCAATTTCCCCAGTGTGTGCCCCCTTCACCACTGTTACCAGAGATGTTAATCCACTAATCCCCTGCCTCTCAAGAGCCCACTCAGGGAAGAAACAGGCTCCACATTGGTGCAGGAGAACTGTGCTGACTTGCACCCAGGGGCAGGCAAATTGCTATAAATTTGAGCAAGCAGGCAAAACCTTAGAGCTCAAATAGCCAGTGTGTTCCTCTGCCTGCCTCCTGAAGTTCCATGCAGGATTAGGTCCTCCTTTAAAGAGGTGAGAGCAAGTACTGAAATTAGAGGCCAGAGGGGGCATTCGTCTTCCTTTTTTCACATTGATTTGTACTCTGCACTTGACTTACTGCCTACAGGAACATAGGGGAGACTGGGAAGAGCTCTGGGTGACTGGTGAGGCAGTTGGCATAGCTATTGCTAGAGGAAAAGCTGTGTTTACGGGTACTGTGAGGGTGGGTGCAACCCCTCAAGGGTAACCCAAGTCTTTGATTTGTCCACTTTACTATTTAAGGCCTTTGGAAGGTGGCGCAAGCTAACAGCATTCCGGCTCAAGGACAAAGGATGCTGCTGAATGGTGGGGGCCTGCCTGCAGCTGCTGCTCATTTCGGGACACAGGGAGCATACAGCTGGCTGTCACAACAAAGAGCTGGTCCTGCACAATCAAGAAAGCGAACATTCTGCTTACGTGGTAACAGCAGTGCTGCAGGCCAAAGGATAGCCAAAGGACAACCAGGAAGAGATGGTACCTAGTGAAAATTCCTCTTTAAAGGACTCATCTCCTACATCCCTAGAGGCACAAATTTGAGAAGTTATTCCCTTTTGTTTTGAGGTTGCATTCCCTTTTCCTCCGGGCCCTGATTTTGCTGGAGTTATGATTAAAGGTCAAAAACTCATCTTATAGGCTCTCCCTTTACTCAGTGTTTTTTCCTGGACAGGATTTTAGTGTCATGCAGGGGAGAGTAAGCAAATACACCAGTCTTAAAGAGATGAGCAGGAGTCTGCCTGTGCAGACACCCCATCCTGTTGATTCCAAAGTCTGGACTGTCCTTGGTAGGTGTGAACACAGGTGTTTACTTTTAGATTTGGGGATTCCCACATGGCTCCCACCTCCTCCCCCTGTCTAGGTCGATCAGCTCTTCATTAAGCCTTTCAGTGGGTGGCCAACCCCTTGACTGCTTCCTGCTGGTTCCTTTCTGTGCTGAATGGGCTAGGGATGAAGAAACCTGCTGGGAACAGCTGAGCACCAAAAGCTTTGCTGAGGCAAGACAGGCGTGTCTGACCCCCCAACCTTCCCATTAGTTGCTTCTGTGATTGATGCCCTGTAATTACCCTGGATATATGAGCCCAGTCTCAGACAGCTGTAATGAGAGGGTCTGAAGAATCTGGAAAAAGCTTTTCTTCCTTGCTTGTTTGAAAGAGGTGCTCACAGCGTGGCAGGGATCACAAAATTCCACTGGGAACTGCCCCAAGGTCTTGTTTTCTTAGTTTGTGGTAGCTTTGCAGGATTGTTAAGCACACAAAGCCGCCTCCGTAGCTCCCCCAACACCTTATTTCAATGCTGTGGGGCCTAAGGCTGTTCAGAGTCATTAGGTCAGGAAAGATAGGTGGAAAAGGACCACCAAAATTCCTGTGACCTTGCAGAACTGAGCCAAAGGTAAATTCTAGGATTTAAGCCTTCTCTGCTCTACCATGGTCCTTTGCCCAGACTTTACTTAGGGCACATGTTGAAAGTAGAGGCAGAGCTGCCCCATAAACAAGTGTTCTTTCTAAAATTTTCCCTTGTGCCAGGCTCATTAGTTTGCAAACATGAGTCTTTGCTACTTACTAGTACAAGAGACAGTCATATTTTGTGTATTTTATTGTACTTAATCTAAGGAGGAGTGTGATTCCTACTCAGTTTCATCCAGAAGTAAAATTCACATATTCCTATTAAAAAGAAAACAAGAAATACAATAAAAGAAAAGTTAGGGAGAAAATTTGAACCTTCTTCTGGAGTGAGTGCAAAAGAGCATGATATGATCAGTTATGAAGAAATAAATCTTAGGAGTGCAATGTAAAGCAACTTGAGTGTTTTTTCAGGGTTGGTGACTGCTGAAATAGTCTCCTTGCATAGGCACTGCTGACAGGAGTGTTTCTGCCCCCAAGGCAGCATTTCTGGCATGACAAAGTTACCAGAATCCCACTGAGTTTTATCGAGTTGATGCACAAGACTTCTCCTGTAATCAACATAGCCATGATTAGCACCTATTCATCCTGCAGAGCTGGCCTTCAAGCTCAGTCTAGAGCCTCAGCTCAGAGGTTTATGTAGTTCTGGCTACTGTTCAGTGAGAAGGGGACAGGGGATAGAAGAGCATATAGTGTTAGTAGATCAGAGAGCTAGCTTGGTCACTGTGTTTGGGAGTGTGCGGTCCACTATCAGCACAGGAGCTGCTTTTTTCTCTCCCTGCAGTCAGTGGATGGAAGGAGGAAGTAAGGGATTAGAGTTTTCACTGCTGAGTCTGAGAGTTCAACAGCTCAAAAGTATCATCCACAACCTGCCAGAGGCAGTTTTCCAGGGGGAAGTCATTGTCCACCAGGTTGACTAAGTAGTAGTTGTCATGGATGTACTGGATTATCATACGAGAGGGTGACTCCTCTTCATAGAGCTTGGCCCATTGCTCTATCCACAGTGCAAATGCTTCATCCTGCCAAGGGGAAAAAAACCCAAACGTTGGCAGTGGTGTAACGCACATGTTACAGAGCTGCATTTTCATATTACTTCATTTAGGACAACCCGTGTCACAGGTGCCTGGCCAGCCTGTGGCTTGTTTCTTCTCATTACAAGAGCTGAGCAAGGAGCCTCATGCTTCCCAGTCAGTGGGAAGTACCCAGAGCTGAAAGGAGACGTATTTGCAGTAAAATGGCTCAACACTGCCCCTGTGTGTGTAAGAGGCGAGGGAGAGCTACTGCCCAGAGCTCTGGGGCCCAGTACAGTGACACTGGTAGCTCCCAATCCTCCTGTTACTGGGCACTCGGTGTCTGTGAAGAGCTCTTGATGGAGCAAAGTTCTCCTTACAGTAAGTGAGCAGGAGGAGGAATACCTGGACCTCCGCAAGCTAATATCGCAACAGTACTCAATTGCGAGAAGCGTCACAGCTAAAACCAAACCAGACACTGAACTCCCAGGGTATCACAGCAATGTATCCAGCAGGAAGGAGGACTCACCTTCCAGGAAAGGAAGCTTACAGGATCCACTACAGTGGGCTGGATGATCTCTCTGCCTGGAAAGATGCCCCAAGTGACAGCATTGGGTTGCAGATCTGGAGCATTGGTGATATTCTGGCCCTGCCAAAGGAAGGAAAACCTTTATGAAGCAACTGCTCAAGGAGGGATTGAGTGAGTTGGAACAAGTGCATTTACCCTCTCCTTGTTAAGAGATCAGACAGCTGATTTGCTTCACTTTCCCTTCCCCTTCATCAGCCTTAATGTCCCACTTTGTTCATAGTGATATCTGAATCTTTGGTATTTGCCTCTCTCTAAAGGTGGTGAAAGGAAAACGTCCAGTTAACAGCCTACCTTGACATTGACAATGTGGTAGTTCACTCGCAACTCATACTTCTTCAGCACTTTGAGCAGTGCCGTGACGATCTCACTGGAGGTGAAGAACTCTAGGTATGCCTACAGGGAGGGATGGGGAAGGGCAAAGAGAGTAAGAGCCTTTACTCACAGCAGGGCTGGGACATATACAGACAACCAAGAGAACAGCTGTACAGTCTGGGCTGCTTGGAAGCCAGGCAACCTAAGACTTGTATGTCCATTCCCAGAAACATACTACAGAGGTGGCTTGAGCAAAGGGCAGAGCAAATTAGTAAGAGAGCTGGGGGGAAAAAAAAAAATAAGTGGGGAGAGCAGAGGTAACAGCCAAGGAGCAGCCAGCTCAGGAAAGCTACCAGCTTCCTGTTTTGCACCCACATAAGCAGACAGGCTGGAATAAGCTCCAGAGAATGTAGCCACAACTGCTGTGCCTGGGAAGCCAGACAGAGTGCTCAGAAAAGGCCTGAGCCTGACCTCTGTTTCACATGGTACCCATGAACAGCAGCGTGCTGCCAAGGCAGCCCAGTCTGGCGGGAGTCTCAGCTGGGCTCTCCCAAGCACCCTACCATGCCCTGTCCTCATCTTTTGTTCGCAGTTCTCCCGGTGTGTTTATACAACCTAATTCTGTACTTGCTCCATCTACCGCTGCTCTGTGCTTGGCTGCTGCCAACAACTGCTTCCCCTCCCCCCCGTTTCCTGGCTATTGTGCAAGATGATGGATTTCCCCTCACCTCGGGGGAATTTTTTCCTTTGAAAACATAACTGCATTTGCCATCTGCTGGTCTCATGGCTTTAGCGGTTTGGATCGCTTTTGAACAAGGCTGCTTTGTTTCCTAGTATGAGCCACTTGCTTGGTATTTACCTTGATGGGAGATTCCTATCACAGCCATTAGTGGCAAGGCTCTAGGGCCTGAAAATGCGTGCCAGTAGGAGGCAGGCATGGCAGATAAGACAGATCGCAGGCTCGAGAAGGAACCTGGCAGCTGTCTGAGCAGCACAGTAGTAGTGCTGTGGGGTGGGGGCAATTGGTGGAAAACTCTGCCTTAGAGAAGGACAGATAGGGGAATTTTTAAATGCTCAGTTATTACCATGAGAAGCTGGATGGGAGAGATACTACCTCATTGATTCCCGTTTTATGAAAAACCTGGCTGCATCCTGCATCACTGAATGCGATCAGATGCAATGGGCAGGCACGTGTTTGTATCTAAACTCCATAGCCCTGCTCTAAAAAGAAGTTACCAATAGTTACTTGCTGGTAACTATAGGTGTTCAACAGAAGTTTTGAGGTGGGGAAAACAACTATGAAGTAAGCCATAGAGATGACATAATCTGTCTCTTAAGACACCAAAGGAGCTTTGCCTTATTTGAGCAAGAAGGCATTAAGATAAGGAGCAAGCAGAAGGATTATCTGGTTGAAAGCCTAGGACCTCTCTACCTAACAGAGACCAAACTAGGTCACATAACTTTGCTGCCTAGCCCAGAGTAGTGCAGTACCTTTTGGAAGACATAACCCCCACTGGGTCCCCAGCCTACAATGGGGTCTGTGGATGGTTTGCCATTGATGTTTGGCTGGGAGTTGATGGTCAGGATTCCTCGTCTGTTAACTTTCTCCAGCTGCTCCTTCAGAAGGTTGGTTTCAGTGGCAAGGGGGTCATCATTCCAAGGCATGCACGTAACCTACCATGAGGAGAAAAGATGGCTCACAATGGATATAACAACCCTTTTGTTACCATCTGGATGCTGAATGAGCTCAGGAGTGCCCTAATGGTCTCAAACACACTTACTTCAGGACAGAATTTCCAGGTTTGGTTCAAGGGGCAGGATATCCTCAACTCTAAGAATTACTGCTGAAGTCTATTGGTACTGGTCCTGTCACACTGTGGCAGCTTTCCTTTTGTGTTGAGCCTTAGCTCTGGCTGTTGGATTCCCTTCAGCCACTACCTGCAAGTCCTTTCAGACAGGGAAGTACCAGCTCTTGTTTAGAAGAACAATGTGGAACCCGGAGCAAGAGGAAATACGCACTATTGTCTGTGCCATGCTGATCATCCCTTCCTGTGCCATCACTCACCTTGTGCCCGTTCTTGTTGGGTTCTCCAGTGATGTAACACGTGAACACCTCAAAGACGCTTTCCTCACCAGTCAGCTCTTCTCCCCACATCTTCAGGAGCTCCTCCCGGGGAGACTTGCTCTTCAGGTAGAAGAGGTAATAGTCCTTCAGCTCCCCAAAGGCTGGAGAGGAGGAGTTACCCCTGTAAGGGGAGCAGGCACAGGATTAACATGCCACTGAGGAAGATGAGCTGATTTTGTGATGCAGGAAAACAGCCACCCAGGAAGAGAAGTATCCAGCAAAATCCACTTAGAGACAAAAAGCCTCGACATCTTGGTGTCATTCTCCTCACCTCATTCAAGTCCCAGCCACCAGGGACCACTTTGTTAAGAAGCCACCTGTTCTGTCAAGCCCAAAGCATGCCCAGGGCACCCAGTAATGACAGAGACCAACTGTGGAGCAGGCTTTCATACCAGACCTCTACCACACTGCCATTGCTTACCATCGGCCATTGGGGAAGTCATCCCATTCTTGAGTTCGATAGATATAACTCTTTGGCCTAGAGGCCCAGAAGATTGGCCGAACATCTTCAACTCTTCTCTTGGGGTGAGCGCTGACTGCCCAGGGCAGAGGCCGCCTGCATGGGAGGAGCAGATGTTAACACAGTTCCTCTGCTGATTTTCCACTAAAGGCTGGAAGCCCTTCCCCTGGAGAACTTTGGGGAGAGCAAGTAACAGGGCTGAGAAGAGTTCTGTTTGTCAAGAAGTAAGACAGAAAACTCTTCTTCCTTTATGGAAAAATCTTTTCCCACTCAGTCCCCTCACAGGATGCTCAGTAGGTGTCTATTAAATGGTTGAGTACAGGACTGACACCTGAAATTATACGAAGTAGGGGAGATTTTTAGCAAGAAAACAGCTATCCATTTTCCTTTGCTTTCTCTTGTCTATGCTGAAGCCTGTGGACTCAGAAGTCCACGTTCCCTTTATCAGCTGCAGAGAACCCTAGAAATCCACAACGGGAGCTTACATAGCACCCAGCCTGTAAGAGGGGTTCTGATAGACCTCAAAAAACATGTTTCTTCCAAGTGGCAGCTCTAAGAGTTTAGGTTTTTAAAGTTCAAGAACAGGCTATTTTAAAACAAATCCTTCCTTCAGCTGTCCCCTTTATTCCTTCTAGTTTTTGTCAGAGACTTGCAGGAAGTGTGAACTTCTAAATGCAAAAAGGTGCTTAAAGAGGCAGCAGAGAGGTGCCAACCCATCCGTTGCTTCAGTTTCCAGTAGATGGGATGGATGTATGTGAAAGAGGAACTAACAGAAGCCAGCATACTCTGCTTACCTGGGGTCCTCCTTCCATATGCCCAGGCGCTTAAGGACTTCAGTAGTAGCCACTTCCCGATTGAGGGTGTAAAAATGGAGCCCATGCACCATGCCGCTATCCAACAGCTCCCGGCACATGGACACTGCCAGCTCCACTCCGTAGTTCCGGATAGCTGCATCATTGTCCTTGATAGGTTCAACCACATCTTTAATTTCTTGAGGTACTTCCAGCTTGGAGAGCTTCACCAGCTGGCACAGGGAGTGGTAACCCTGGATGAGGATGTAGGGGATTTTCATTTTTCCAAGGCCCTTTTCTCATATCCCAGTAACACAGGTACTTGATCTCAATTTTGTGGCACAAGATTTAGAACTGGGGCTCCAGGATTCTACTCCTAGGCCCCATCTCTAGCATGGTAACACAGTCTGGTCATGCCACTTCAGGGGATTTCTTCCCATTTCTTTGCCTGAGGCCAGCATACTGACAGTGATGACTAACATCTTAGGACTGGAAGACCATTGTACTTTATACCCCTTTTTGCCATATGGGCAGAGAAAACTTTTTAAGCTTGTTATTACGTGCCTAGGAGTTTAATTTGGCAAACCATCTACAGATTTCTCATGTTTAGCACTCTCACTTCCCAGAAATGTTGTGGAGGATATTTACAGACCACACTCAGGCCCTGACCCACAAACACCTAACATCCTGGATCCTTATTCCCTCCCCAGATCAGAATTACTGCATTTCACCTGTATGGGGAAGATGCCAGGAATAATGGGGCAAGTGATGCCAATGGCTTGACAGTCCTTCATAAACTTGAGAAAGGTTTCTGATTGGAAGAAAAGCTGCGTAATGATGAAGTCTGCCCCAGCAAAGACTTTCTCCTTCAGGTGCCTCAGGTCTGCCTCATAGCTCTCTGCTTCAGGATGACCCTTGGGGTAGCCTTTGGGGGGAAGGGGAGGGGGAAAAAAAAAAAGTGAAACCCTGGTGGTCTGGACAACATGGTAGAAATTAGAAAGCAGCCAATCTGATTGTACTGTCACTTACAGCCCAGGTCTAGAGAGGGACTTGTGAGCTCATTTCCATATCTCAGACCCTACCCCACACTCTGCAATGAAAGCATTTACCTGCCACACAGATATCAAAGTAATCATCAAATTCATTGCGAATGTGCTTAACCAGGTCAACAGCATAGTTGAAGCCATCTACTTCTTCCTCCCACTCCTCACCGGCAGGATCTGAAAAGAGAACAAACCCACAGCTCTCTCCAACTGTTTGCTGGATTCCGATCTGCTAGTGCTGTGAAAACCTCCTGCTATCAAAAGGAAGACAAGATGAAACCTCCAAGTTTGCAGTTTTACCCATGGACTGCTTTTGTCTACCCTTGAGCTGGAAGGACTGCTAACAAAGCCATCGGGTCAAATGCAGTCTCAATTTTTAATTCCTGCAGCGAAAGGAGCCTCTAAATCATATTTTTCCATTTTTACCCTGGAATGGAATGCGATAGCAATAGATCCTCGGCCTTACACATCATAGGACAAAAGGATTCACCTCCACGCAATGCCATGATGTTTTTCAACCCAAGCCGCTTGGCCTTCTGCAGATGCCCTGTGATGTCATCCTTGGTCTGATTGCAGCATGTCATGTGCAAGATGGTCTCCAGGCCACAGTAGTTGACCGCAGTGTTGGCAATAATCATGGAAGATGTTTCCTTATCAGAGCCTGGGTCCCCAGCAGGGTGCCACGTCACATCAATGAAGAGTGGACCACCTGCTCCCATGCGGTCAAACCTGTGGATTTTAAAGCTGTGTTAGCCTACCATGTAGCCAACTCCTCTCTCTTTGCCTGGGATATCTTGCTCACTTCTGGATGGCCAGCAACAGACAGAGCAAGCTTGGATAACAGCAGCAGGAGAGACGAAGAAAAGTGTTGAACTAGGAGTTTAGCAAGTGGCCAATGTAAATAAGGAAACTAACCTTTTAAGGCGTATGAGGAGGAACTTACAATCTCTTTGAAAAACAGACAACTCAAGTGCTCTCTGTAGAATAAACTTCCTCTCAGCATGCTCTATTAGACTGATAGGTCTTCTGATAGACAGCAATGCAAGTCCCATTCCTTTTGAGACGGGAGACTATGCTGCAACCTTCTGTTCCCAGCTTTAACTGTAAAGGCCACAAATATGAAAAGACGGACCAGATCTCTGTTGTGTTCCCAAGTGTGCCTAACAGAAGAAACAAAGCCTCCCCTAACTTGTCTCTCTCCTGCTCTGGGTTGGAACAGGCCCTTCTGTTTTAAGTAAACCTGGCACTGGCATACAGCAAAGAGTTATGAAACTCCCTCTTCTCCTCCAGGTGAGTACATGGTGGCTCCTGGGGCTGCCCACAGGGCTCCAGGATAACCTTTAGCTCTGAGGACATCTATCTCAGAGGCTAAAACTGTAATCCTCAGTAACAGAAGCACAAACCATAGTGGCTGGATGACTCTGAAAACAAGTGGGAGTCTCTGTTCCAAAGACTTGGGCAAAATGTCCATCAGTTAATATTCTCTGCTTTTAATAGGTACTTTTCTGCTCTATTGCCCCCCAGTATTCTGCTTCAGCCCCAGAGTATGACAGTGGGGTTGCTCCATCTTCACAGAGCATGGGAGAGGGGAAACAGTCTGGCCCCCTCAGTAACCCCACCGTGACACTTAACTCTTCAGGGCCTCCAAGGAAGACAAGTTACCTGGTGTCCAAAGGAAAGCACAGCCCCATTACCTGCTTCGTCACCTGGAAGGGGAGACAGAGCATGGGGCAGAGCCTGCCTCATTAGCTATTTCCCAGCCCTCCACCAAAGACCCTTCATCTCTCCCCTCTCCCACCCTGCAGCCCTCACCTGGAGATGAGATTGACAGCAGCATTGGCTGTGCGTGGAGGGAAGAACTCCAAGGAGAACCACTTGTCTCCAGAGTCCTGCCGTCGACGCATCTTCTCCCGCAGCCGCTCATGACGGTCAGCATCGAGGACAGGGGTGGAGCAGCGTGAGCTGTCCTTGGAGCTCTCACTCCCGCTACTGCTGCCAGCATCAGACTTGGAGCTGGAACTGGTACTGCAGGTATGCTGGGTCTCATTGACCATGGTGAGCTCTCTGGAGGAGGGGAACAGAAGGAGCACAGTGGGTACAAGACAGGGCACAGATCTCAGCAAGGAGCAGTTACTGGTGGGTTGGGCAGCAGATGATGGAAAGGAAGCCTATGCCAAGACCCAACATTAATCATCATCAAGGAGTCCCTTTTGCCAGGCCAGCCCTCGCTAAACACTGTAGTGGGGGATCTGGTGAAAAATCAACAAAAAGCACGTGTTTAGATAGTGCTGAGAGAAATAACACAGCAGATGGCTTCACGCCACTTTGATGCAGCTCTTCTGTGCCTGCTGGGTCAAATTTGGCTGTCAGGAGTCAGGTCAACATCGCTTTTGCCCCAGCTACAACTTAGCAAGCCACGATACTCATGTGCATCAGGTGAGGGCCTCTTTAATCTTGTGGCCTTGGGCTGGATGTGCCAGCAGATGTTTAGAGGTTTTTTTCTCCCTACACTACCTGCTCCTTGGACTGTATGCATCTTCAGAGTTTCCATTCTGTGTTTGTTCCCTAAGGGTAGTGCTTTTTACAGTGTAGGTAGAAGAACAAGTGCTAATGGGGCAGGTACACAAGAATGCACAAACTATTCCTATGTCAGAAAAAAAAAAAGTGAAGAATCCTCTCTGATCAGGCCACCCCTTCAAATACCATCCTTTGTTTTTGTCTTTCCTGGCACCAGACAGTTGTATTTCTAACTGTTAGCTTTCTTCCACAAGACACACTATCTCCACAGACAACTGTCCCTTGTGCCAATACCACTGCACACACTTGGCTCCTTCCTTTACCAGATACACTGTTCATGTTCCTTTCCTCACCAGTTGTGGCTGCTTGGAAACAAGGTCAGCAGAGACCATCCCCTCTCCCTGCCTTGCAACACCATCAGCTGTGTTTGTTTGGCTTCACAGAAAGGAAAACAGCACTGCAAGTCAGTGGTATGAGTGGGTCTAGGATGCCCAGCTCCACTTAACTCCCAAAAGTGTTTCGCTCTATGCCTTTAAAATTAGGTAGCGATTACAGATAATTAGAGAAGAGCTGCCATACAATCTGTATCCACATTGTTTGCTTACGTACCTGCCAAAACTTAAAATTGTCACTGGGAAGCACCAGGCTGTCTGAGCATTATGTAATATCGGAGCCCATTCTGGAGGAAATGGCTCTGTGAGCTAGTGCACACTTTGTCCTTATCATAAGCTCTGTGCGTTTAGGTCATCTAAGAAGACTTTGAACTCATCTTCTGCTGTTTACACTGAGTTGCCAATGAAGCAATACCAGTTTGGGAGAAAGTCTACTTTTATCACCTGGGGACCTCCCCAGCTGGCAGGAGATATGAGAAAGGAGCACAAGCCTTCTGCTGCCAACAGGAAGGCTTAAATCGCTTGTGTACTAGCATAGCAGGCCATGGTAAAAATCAGCAGAACAGACCTACTGACAAGTGAAGGAAAAGCAACTGGGTGCACAGCAACAGCCCTGACCAAGCTCTCTCAAAGGACTTTGCCCAACATCCACGTGGCATTAATCTGGGAAAATAATCTCAAAGCATATGTTGGTGATCTAGCTAGTGGCACAAAATCACATGCAGTCAGCTCTCACTTCTAGCAAGCATGCCACAGCACTAGGCAAATCAAAGGACCTCTGTTTTTAACGTGCATCACAAGAGAAGGGTTCACGTATTAATGTCTCTGTAAAATGAGACTTGCTGTTGAGGAAAGGCCCTTATCTCACTGGCAATCCAGAACCACGAAGACAGGAGAAAGGCCCCACTTGAATTTTGTCTACAGGCAGCATTTGGAGCAGTTTCTTTACCATCAGATGCATCACAGATTTGCTGGTAGATGCTTGCAGTTATTGCAAAAAGACTTTATAAATAACAAGAACAGCTGCAAAATACGACAATCTTAAACACACATCAGCTCCATGGGGTCAGCACTCCTGCTCCCCTGTCTGTACCATGCTGCAGAGCTCAGAGCAAAGATCTGTGGCCCAGCACATTGATGCTGATCACCGTGGATGTGCCCGTTGTGTTTATGCGATGGTGCTGGTGACTGTTGGCTTCGCTGGGTTGGAGCTGACACACGCAGCGCGGAGGTCTGCATCCTCCTAGGCTTAGTTTTACCACCCAAGCTAGACTCGGCTGCGCAGACATAGGCTTCGCATGGGGCGTGCACGCCTGCAAGGGACTTGTCCAGGGCCTTGCTGTCCTGGGCCATGGCACCGGGCCGACAGCCCTACGGGGCAGACAAGGGGCC